CGGGCTGGGGCACAGCATCGTGGGCAGCGGGTCTCTGGCCGCAGGGACAGTGGTCTGCTCACCACAGTCTGGCCGAGCCCCGCCTCCACCGCCGCTGCGGGTGGACCTGCGTAGCCACCCAGATGGGAACCCTCCGGCGGCGCTGCGGGCGCGCCTGGGTCAGGGGAGGGCGGCCAGGTCGCCGCAAACTGACCTCCCGCGTCGCAGCGGCCCCGGCCGTCTGGGAGAGCGGAGCTGTGTTCACGCTCGTCAGGCTGCTGCGCCTGTCCATGTGGGGGTCCCGGCCCCCCTGCTACTGAGGGGTTGAGCGGTGTGAGTTGACACTGAGTCAAAGTTGGAAATTCCTGCCCCTCAAGTTCAGAGCCGGAAAGGCAGCCCCCTGCTGTGGCTGACAGTAACACAGAACGGATTTTTCTCTTGGTGTAGCCGATGAAGGTCACCACTGATGTAACTTCTGGGAAAACTTCTGTTGGTGGCAGCCCTTCTGCACCTCAGGCCTCAGCTGGCTTTTGTTCCGCTGTGGCAAAAAGCCCCACACAACCCTTCACCCCATATCAGAGGCGGCGCGGAGCACGGCCCTGGGCGCTGTTCTGGGCACTGGCTTACAGAGCTGCATTTCATACTCGTGTCTACTGCCCACTGGGAAAGTTACGAACGGGAGAGATGACCGGGAAAGAGCAAGCGGACGCTCCTTCTCCGCAGAGGCCCCGTGGGGTCACAGGAGGCTTTGGACCTTCCCTCTCCCTCGGCCGCCTCTCCACACGCACTGTGATCATCTGATCTGGGGTCTTTGCAAACCTGCCCAGTGGGTTTAGGATATAGTAACGCCAGACATCCAAGGCCTTAGATGTGATTTACCAGTTGGATTTGGATTAAGGCCACATTTTCATGGCTGGCTCAGCATGAGAGAGGCAGGCACCAGCTTTGAGGGCACATCCGAAGGAAAACCGTGCAAGCAAAAACCTACCTTTGGAAAACTGTTTTGAAACCAGTGACTTCACGTTTACCCGAAAGGGAAGCTGTGGGCAGACTGTTTTTTATCCTATATAATCTTTGCATTCATCTATTCGTGTTCCAAACGATTAATTTCCCAATCACTTTTTCCAGTTGTAGTGTTTATTTCTGAACGACATTCAAGTAATGAATGCATGAAATATAATGTGTCTCTGAACTCAAATGCGTCTGGAAAATGATAGCAAATTTCTAGCCGTTAGATATTTAAGATGTAAATTTAAAATAAACAAGGTTATAGGGGAATAAAGGGTTTTTTTAAAAAATAGTATGAAGCTTAATTAGCCTGAAAAAAAAAGTAATAGTTCGACCAGAAGCTCAACGACTGCTTATAAGTTGTGATTTAGAGAACCCTGTATCTTTCTTATTTACTTTCTCACTGAGCTAATGAAAGAGGCAGCCATTCTGAATATATCGCCTTGCTAGTTAATCTTCCCCCAACAGATATTTACATTGCCAGGGCACGCTATCACAGCAGACTCAAAATCTGTAGTCCTGAGGTGATCTGTGTGTAGCATTCAAATTCGACACTATTCCCATGATTTAGAAGGAAAATGAAATGCTATCAAGGAAAATGTCCTTAAATTATCCTGTCCGGCCACAAAGGAAAGAACAGCGTTGATAACATTGACCAGGTTCCAAGACTCTGAGGTCAGTGCTTCCAACACGCTCTGGACTGGAGGAGACCACGGCGCCCTGAACCTTGGCGTTAAAATCTGTGGAACTGGTCCACGGCAGTGAACTTCGGAAAGTTCACATTAACATTAAGAGGGCTGCCTTTCCAAATATCCGAATCGTTTTGGAAGAAAAGACTCCTACAGTGCATGGCAGCCCTCCACCAACCAGAGATCTGGCTGACGGGGACAGAGGCACTTCCTGACGACACAGGACCAGCCCTGTGAGAGTCGGTCATCTCATGTCCACAGGGGAGAAAGAATCCTGGTGCCTGCAGCAGGCAGCTCAGCATTCGGTGCTGGCTCTGCCGCTGGGCAGGGGACCCGAAGCCAGCTGCCCTTCAGTTCTCTCGTCTATAAAGCCCGGGAGAAGCAGTACCTAAGCCGCTTCCATTTGTTAGTCACTCTCTAGATGCTAAGCATTCCACACATGCTGTCGTTTCATTTCCAGAGTGACAGTTATTCCCATTTTCCTGGTGAGGAAACTTACGATCGGAAAAGCAACTTGGATCGCCCAGGGTTAGTTCGGGGCAGGACAGCTGGTGTGTTCCAGGCCGGGGTCATCGGATTCTGATCATTTGTGCTGCTCCTATCACATGAGGCTGCTCGAAGGAAAACATCCTAATTTAAAGTCAGTTCTCAAAAAAAAAAAAAAGAAAAGAAAAGAAATATAGCTGCACTTAACTGTGATTAATGACCAGTTCCGTTTCTGAGGATGAAGTGAGATTATTCACGTGTGGCGCTGGGGGGTGACGTCGTGGATCCGGTCTCTGCTGCAATCAATCACTGCATGGGAGCCCCTACCTCCTTCGGAGACCCGGGTTTCCCGTTTGCAAACGTCGGGAACTGTTTGTGGCCTTCTTTGTGGGGTTGTTGTGGAAATCGTAGCTGATGACGTAGACAAGACAGCCTAGCACTTAGTAGGTGGTTTACAAACGAACTCCTCATGCACCTCCCTTCCACGGTCTGCTCCTGTCCCCACCATGGACAGCGGCTTTCCTCCGCGTGTCCCTGTACACACGCCCCTGCGGCGGGACGTTCCAGAGAGGGGACTGCTCTGCCCCCAGGGACGTTGATGCTGCCTGCCCTCCAGGTGGGACGCTTGGGGAGCTTTCTTCCAGGGAACATAGAAGGACAATGTCCTAGATGGAAGGGAACCAGGTGCAGAGAGCTGTGGCCTCTTTCCTCGGGTCCTGCCCACCTGCCGTCTCCATGACAGTCTCAGTAAATGACTGGCCTCAAGTCACACATGCCATGTTCAGTATGTAGTTTATACTTTGTGCTTCTGGGAGTTTTAAAATTTTTTAAATTCTTTACGTTATTTTGAAATATTTTATGCCGCTCCATAATACGTCTTTGTTTGGACACAAAGCAAGGCAGCCCGCAGCCTCAGCCCCTGGGCCACACTCCTGCACCCTCAAGTTGCGTGAGGCCCAGGGAGTCAGGCCAGGCCCTGGGGGTTTGTGTCCTGCCTCTGAGACATCACTCCCAGTGCCTCAGCTCAGAGAACGGCGGGGTTTCCAGAACAGCGTGTCACCCCTGTGCTGGGGGTGGCGGGATGGACCTCGTGCTCCCCCTAGCGGTGACGGCAGGGTCAGAAGGACAGGGAACTGTGCCAGCACTCTGGCCATCCAGGCTTGAGTCAGACACGGGGGACTGAAATACGACCTTTCCATGGACATGAATTTTCATGCTCCGGGGGCCAAGACGAGTTGACCACAGGTGGCAGGCATGATGACATGTTTGTCACCCAGAGGTGGCACCGGTAGCTCACAAGTGGCCAGGAACCGTATGGCCTTTATTATCATACCCAGGTCCCTCTGGCTGCACGGACTCCTCAGCTCAGACGGAGGAGCCTGCGTTCTAGAAGCCTGAGCGCAGACGGCACTACACACTCTCAGCAAGCTGAGCTTTGAAGTCCAGCCTGTTCCCCCTCCCCCGACCCTGGCCACATCCCCAAGCAAAGTCGTCACTGTTCATCGACGTGTCCGCCCAGCGGGCGCCCAGAGCAACAGCCCCTTCCTGTTTCTGAGAACACGCCTGAGATAATGGGTGTCTATCTCTGTCAGTGTGGGAGACAGATCTGCAGTACTTCAAGGGTCAGACCACGCTTCAGAACTGATCCCCCTCTGACACTCGGCTCCCTACCGGCCCAGTGCCACCCCCCCCATTCACCCATTCAGAGGGCCCCCCACCTCTGAAGCGAGTCCAAGGAGGGGACCCTTTGCTGCACAGCAGACAAAAGCTATTCCTCAGCGGCATCTCAGATGCAGAGGTGGTGGGGGATGAGGGGCAATTTAAGAAATGGGCTTCCTGCATGGCACGTGCCAGTATGGTGCAGGGAGCCACTCAGGAATCAGCACCTCAGCAGCAGAAATGGAACCTCGTACCCGGGGAGCATGAGAGCCTCTGTTGTCACATGTCCCTGGCCTGGCTCAGGATGTCAGCCCCACCAGTGACAGCCATGTGACCGCCGACACCTCACCCCGCTACTCTAGTTTTCAAATGGGTCAGATGGACAGACGGACACTGACCGTGAAGCTTTAGCAGGAGCTTACGGAGCAGGATGTGTGACGTGAGCTAGCTCATCACACGGACGCCCGGGGAGAAGTGGGTGCGGTCTGCACGTGACTGTACAAACACAGAATGCAGCGGAGAAACCGTCAAAGACCCCCCAGGGAGGCTCACCCTACAAGGCAGGTTCACAGGCCCAGCCCCGCACCCCTGAAGCAGAACCTCCCGGCACAGACCCCGCAATGCACATGTCTCACCAGCTCCGAGAGGGGTTACGACGCACGCTAAGCTGGGGAGTCTGAAGCTGGAGAATCACCCAGCCTGCGTGGGAAGGTACCACAGTCTGCCACCTCGCCTGACCTCGCACACGGCTCTCAGTCCAGACGGATATATGGACGCCCCCGTCCTCCTTGAGACCCCAGACTACATCAGCTCCCATGGGGTCTTCGCACCGGGGCGTTCTGTAATCTGCTTTCTGGAAATGTCGCCACACAGTCGGCTGTTAGGAGCCACAGCTCAGCGGTCCGGGCTGACGCAGCCTCGGTTTTCGCTGTGCGGCCCCAGGAAATCGTGAAGAGCCAACGGTAGAGCCCGTGGGTGGCCGAAACCCGTGCCCCACGGCCTGATCCGGGCGCGTCCCCTACCCGCGGACGTCCAGAACTGCTCTGAGTTCGGTCTATATGTCAGGAAGGACTGTGTTCACGTTGCATCTGTCTTACGGTATGGTTTTCCCCACCTCTTTAGAGAGTGAGCTTTAGAGTAGCTTAATAGTCGAGTTATTAAGATTTGGGTTCAGAGCAAGAAACATTTACCACCCATTTTTAAATATACTTGTTCTGGAAAAGAAATGTTTTCTGATTATTCGAGTTATAGGTGTACTTTCCAGAAGTTCTGGGAGAAGTAATGAAGAATATAAAAGAACTAACAAGTCTCTATGAGGCCGGGCACGTAACTGTCATCTTGGTGGTCCGTCCAGGTTTCCCTTGGTGGCTCGTCCAGGTTGCTCACCTACACAGTTGGAACCTGTAGGAACGAAGCCCGACTAACCATGGTCGTGAACGCAGGAGGCTGTTGGGGTTCAGTGGCAGTGGGGACACAGGACAAGGAAAGACCTCGGAGAGTGAATTCGATGAGGGCTCTGAGCAATCTGAGCAGCAGAGGTAGGCAGGTGGCATCGCAGGGAGAAAGCCTGGTGGCAGAAAGGAACATGGGCAGAGGGACAGAGCCTCAAGGTGGCTTTAAACGTGCCCCGAATTCTCTGACCCTCGCCACTGAGGGGTAGCGTCCCCACCTCCCCTTGAACCCGTCAGGCCTCTGTAGCTGTGTCGGTGTATAAAACGAGGCGGAAGTGGCACTTTGTGACTTTCAGGGCTGGATGAGAAAAGGTCACAGCGCTACTGCAGCTGTCTCTTGGGACGCTGGCTCTGTGCCTCCGAGTCGCTGTGTCTGGGGGCGGTGGCCCTCAGGCCACCATGTGGAGAAACCGCTCGTGGAGAGCGAAGCCTGAGGAGCCTGGCTGTGTGACTCTCCCCAGCGTGGACACCAGAAGACCCCAGTCCCCATCCGATTGTCACTGCGGTCTGAGTGAGAACCCCAGCCAAGGCCAGTGACCCTCCAGATTTGTAGGCAAAACAAATAATTGGTATCCGTTTACAAACAAATAATCAGAATCGCCTCTTCAGTCTCGAGGTAAACACAAGACTGCCACGGGCAGCACAGCGCGCCTGGTGAGGCTGGGTGGGGTCAGAGCCTGCAGGGCCCTGACACCCGGAGCCTGAGCCCTCCAAACTCAGGGACACGTGAGCTCAGACGCGATTCCACAGAGGACAGGATAGCAGCACTGAGATTTCTACCGTCGTCTCTGCATGGCACGGTTCCCTGAGCTCTACATGACGTCGCTCCCCTCAGCCTCACCCCAACCCTATGAGCTTGGTGCCCTCGTCGTCAGCCCCGTTTTACCAGTGAGGAAACTGAGGCCCAGAGAGGTTAAACACTTGGCCCAAATTGCACTGCTAGTAAGTGGGATCTGGGCTGAGGCTGCAAACTCAAGGGCTGGCTCTGGTCCCCGCTCCCCATGGAGGCCGGTGGATGCTGATGACATCGCAGCCCTGAGGGGTAGGTGCCTAACCGTGTGAGGGCTGAGCCAGCGGCTCTGGCCTGCAGAAACGCAATTCCTAGTCCCTGGGTCACCTTTGCTCGAGTCACCCAGCCAGTGCCAGGTCTGACTCACCCTTTCTCACGGCCAGAACGGTGCCTGGCCCTCCCGGTCCTCGCTGCCTGGCCCCCTGCATCAGCTGTTGCACAGGCTCTCACGAGAGCATCTGCCCGACCTTCAGCCGGGCTGTTGCTTTACTCCTGAAACCAAGGCCTCTTTACATGCTGCACATCCTCCTGGGAGGATGGGGTCGGTTTTGCCTGTCCCAGGAGCATCCCAAACCCAGGCTCCACCCTGTGTTGGGCTGCCTCTCCCTGAGGGTTGGTTTATCAAAAATAACAAAAGTCTGATTGTGGCTTCTATTGATTTTTGACACATCCTCCCCCAGCATCCTCCCCGCCGTCCCGAGCATGGGCTTTGCACATAAATTCTCAGGCCTCATCTGCTCCCTGGAATCTGGCGTGCTGGGCACAGAGGACAGAGCGCGTTAGCAGAGTATGAACAGGATGGCTTCCTGTTCGGAGAAAACAAGCAGACGCTTCAAGGACTCTAGACGGAGGAGGGTCATTAGTAACGGCACGCTGAACCGATCTTCCCATGCCGGCCGCCGTGGTGCCCAGGACGGGAAGTTCGGCCAGGTGCTGACTGGCGGTGTCTGGAGGACGGCGGGGGTGGCCGAGCCTGGTGCATTGCGATGGATTCTAGCGGCACCCGACTGACTCCTCGCGTTCCAGATGGCCTGAGGCCTTGGACCCCTCCGGCACCCACCGCCCTCCCCAGGGGCCATGTTCACAGTCCCTTCCACCTGTACAGACGGCTCCATGTCCACTGCTGCATCTGGGCTGACAGCCCCAGGAGATGGGTGTCACTGCCCTGTGACCTTGCAGAGCCCACCCTCCGGGACCGCTGGACTAAGCCCCGTTTCAGATGGCCAAGCCCACACGCTCTACCTCATCTCACTGGCTGTCAGTGGGAGGCATTATTTACCCATGGAGCGGTGCGGGGGGGGGGGGTCAGATAAAGAGATGCTTTTGTACCCAGAATGTCGCAGGAAAGGCAGGAACATGAGGACAGTAAAGGGTCTGGATTCCCTTCAGGGGTCACTGCCCACCTCACCCCAGAGAAGGGCTCTGGCCTGTTGGCCAAGGCACTGCCCCGCTGCTGGGCACCACCTGTGAGACTCCATCACTGCGGGGTTCACCCACCCACCTCCCTCGCACTCACCCCCCGAGCGGCCACCCATGCCTCCCCTTCTGGGCCCCCTGGGCCTGGTCCAGAGAACAGGCCGAGGTGGCAGTGGGCGAACAGCGTTCCTTGGGTGGTAGAGCATCTCAGCGCCATCAGAGCAGCCACTGCCCACTGCGGCTCAGAGAAATGTAACTGCATTTACCACGCTGGGCCGGCTTACAACAGCCCCCTGGGAACCAGGCCACCTGGGGGGCTGTGGTGGCTGCCAGAGCCAGACCCGGTGGCGGTGCTGACCGACACTCGTTCTGGGTGGCGGGTCAAGGGACACGGGCAAGCGCACTTTGTACGGCATCCTCCCTGAGTGACGAGCTGCACTCCCTGAGCGCTGGCAGATGGACGTGGCAGTGCGTGTGCTCGCAGGCGAAACCTTACAAGCCCAAGGCTCCCGACCTCCCTGTGTGACAACGACTGCACGTTCTAACTCACAGCCTTCGCCATTCGGCTCTGCTACACCCCAACCCGCAAACCGCACGCTTTGACGAGTATGCCTAGCAGCCGTTCCTCACGGGGTCATTCACTTGCCAGATCAGTGTCCCTGATCCTCAAGCCAGTTCATCTCCAGCTGCCTCAAGCGTGTGGCTTGTGCAGTGTCGGTGCTGCAGGACGACGCAGTTATGTTGGGGACCTCGGGGCTGGCCAGCCCCTCAGCTCCCAGGGACTGGCAGCTGAGTGTAATGTACCACCCCCCAGGGGTTGTGTCCTCACTTTGAAACGGAGCTGGATGGGACTTGCGCCTGCCTGAAGTTAAGGCTGATGAGCACACTCCATCTG